CCTTCTCTTTTTCTTTTCCATCTGTTTATATATTTTGTACTTAGGTAAATTTACTACCTGCTAACATTCTTTCTAGTGGAAGAGCTTCCTGAAAGGAGAACCTAACAGTCAAATGTTGGTTTTGAAAAAATACATATATTTTAAGCACGTTGTGTAAAGCAGATGGTCTTGTTATTCTGGATGCTGCATCTGATGTTACAAATGCAATGTTTACATTATCAGGCTGTTTTTGATACTTTTTAATAAGCATAATTTCACATAAGTTCTCCTTACTTTAAATTTGTTCCCTCTAAACAGAAGTACAGTTCTCTGATAACAGCAGACCAGTACAATCGTGAGGTAATGGTATAATGTGGGTATAAAAATAAAGAAACTGATTCTTATTCACTTGCTATTTTATTTGTAACTTCAGAATAATCCAAAACTTTAAATAGAAATTCAATTCAAAGTTGTTTCTAATAAATAAAAACTGTTTTGACCTGTTTTTGGTCTTGTTAATCATGCACTGTGAGCAAGGGGGACAACATGTACAGTGTTAGACCCAAAGACCTGTAGGCCAGTGAGTCCCACCTCCATGCCCAGCAAGATCATGGAGCAGATCCTCCTGAGGTCTCTACAAAAGCACATGGAAAATTTGGAGGTGGTTGGTGATAGCAAACACAGCTTCATGAAGGGCAGATAATGCTTGACAAATTTAATGGCCTTTTATGATGGGGTCGTAGTATTGATGGGCAAAGAGAGAGCAACTGGCATAATCTACCTGGACTTGTGCAAAGCATGTGACACTGTCCTGCGTGACGTCCTGGTCTTTAAATTGGAAAGATAAGGATGCAGTGGATGGACCATTTGGTGGATAAGGAATTGGTTGGCTGGTCCCATTCAAAGAGTTGTGATCAACAGCTCACTGTCCAGATGGGGACTAGTGCTGAGTAGTGTTCCTCAGGGTTTGGTACTGGCACCAGTGCTATGACATGGACAGTGGGATTGAGTGCAACCTCAGCAAGTTTGCTGATGATGCCAAACTGTGTGGTGAGGTCGACAGGCTGGAGGGAAGGGATGCCATCCAGGGCCATCTGGGTTCCCGTGACAGGCTTGAGTGGTGGGCCTCTGCAAACCTGCATGAAGTTCAACAAGTCTAAGTGCAAGGTTCTGCACCTGGCTCGGGACACACAAATACAGGCCGGATGGAGAATGGATTGAGAACAGCTCTGAGGAGAAGGACTCGGGGGTGTTGGTTGATGAGAAGCTCAACATGGGCAGGCAACGTGCAGTTGCAACCCAGAAAGCCAACCATGTCCTGGGCTGCATCTGTAGAAGTGTGGCCAGCAGGTCACAGGAGATGATTCTGTCCCTGTACTCCACTCTTATGACAGGTCAAGGACAACACTCCACCAACCCTGTGCTGGACAACTTGCCATGGGACAGCCCTCTGCAAGGATAACACTCTGTGGATTGGCAGATGAGGCATGGCACATGGGGCTGTGTCATCTGTGAATCTGTCCAGAGTTGTCCCTGCAGGGGACTGTTCCGACATAGATGTCTCAGTGGCAAGTTGTGCAGTAGAGAGTTGTCCTGGCAGCAAATTGACTTTGGCAGTGGGTTGTCTGATAGTGAGTTGGCAGTGGAGAGTTGTCCCTTCCCGTCTCATGAGACCCCACCTGGAGTACTGTGTCCAGTTGCATAGCCCCAGCACAGAGAGGACGTGGAGCTCTTGGAGTGAGTCCAGAGGAGGGACGCAAAGATCATCAGAGGGCTGGAGCACTTCTCCTATGCAGACAGGCTGGGAGAATTTGGGTTGTTCAGCTGGGAGAAAAGAAGCCTCTGGGGAGACCTCATAGTGGCCTTCCAGTACCTGAAAGGGCTATAGGAAAGCTGGGAAAGGACTTTTGTAAGGGCATGCAGTGAGAGAACAAGTGGTAATGGTTCAAAACAGGAGGAGGAGAGATTTGGGTTAGGCATTAGGAGGAGAACCTTCACTGTGAGGATGGTGAGACACTGGAACAGGTTGATCAGGGAGACTGTGGATGCCTCATCCCTGGAAGTGTTCAAGGCCGGACTGGATGGGATTTAGAGCAACATGGTCTAATGGGAGATTTCCCTGCCTATGGATAGGAGGTTGAACTTGAATGATCTTTAAGGTCTCTTCCAACCCAAACCATTCTATGATTCTGTGATTTTGAGTTAAAAATGGTGAATTTATAATGTATACTAAATACATTCAAACTTTGATGAGAGGCCTTCTGCTGATTGAACATACAAAAGCATTTTTTAAAGCATCTGCAGTATCCACAGCACTGTGCATCTTAAAATTACTGGTTCTAGAATACATGTACAGAACTAGGAAATTATTGGTTATTTAAAAGTAAATGGAGGGAATATCAGAAAATAAATTGGTCTTACATGTTCTGTGAGGGACTGTCTCTAACATTATGGTTTTTTTAGTCCTTTAAAATGTTAATCTGAAGAATCATAGAATCATAGAATGGTGTGGGTTGGAAGGGACCTTAAGGATCATCTAGATCCAACCTCTCTGTTACGGGCAGTGATGCCAACCACTAGAACATGTTGCTCTAGACCACATCCAGTCTGGCCTTGAACACTTTCCAGGACTGGACTTCCACAGCTTCCCTGGCCAACTTGTTCCAGTATCTCACCATAGACTAGTGAAGAATTTCATGTTGTTTGGGTTTTTTTCTTCTGTTTTTCATGTTCTGTTCCCAATTTGTATGTCACACTATTACCAAAAAAAATCTGCAGAACTAGATGTGCCTTCTTTGAAATTATTTCAAAAGACATTATCGATCACAAAACAGTTTCTAGAGCTGTAGGTATATTTGTATCTGTAACATGCAAATAATGATCTAAATTAAAGTTCTGAACTCATTTAGAGATGTGTTTAGTCATTAGGTGGAAGGTCGTATAATACGGAAGTGACCAGATTCTATGCCCATTCCCTGTGTATAAAGCTTTCTAGTATGTGTAACTTTTGTATTGTGGAAAACAGATCCATGAGTCCATCTGTAAATGACATGAGTTACATAAAATCATATGTAAATTATGCCTTCTAATGGCACATCTAAAAACTCAGAGTATTTGTCTACCTGCTGGTGGCATTTCAAATAAATATTCTGCGTGCTCGTTATTGAAAATTCCATGGCATCCACTGGAAGACCCAAAATACTATTTTTCCTAATCAGGTCCTGAGTGAGAGAAATCTAAACTGAACCTGAGTCTTTCCTAGGGATCTGATGTATAGTGGAAAGAGTATGTACCTGTGGGTGCATAATGCTACCTTCCACAGTGATAATGAATTGTTAAGAGCTGAAAACTTCTTTCTGGACTAAAAAGAAATCTAGATGTCTTAGAAAAAATATTTGGCATGTCTGAAAATAAAAGCTCATGAATTAATACACTTCTGCTATATTGAAGAGTTTCTAACTCATTAAAAACAAGAGAACAAATTAAATAGCTGAGTTGAGCAGCAAGGAGTTGGTAACTGCATGAACTCAGAGTGGTTTGGGAGATGTAGGATGAAGCTCTACAGGTTAATGGCTTCACTAGCTTTGTGGTAGCTGAGCTAGGAGGAAGAAGGTAAGGAACTGTATGCATTCTAATTCAGTGATACATCTAACTGTCAGGTTGGAAGTAATCAAAGGAACACAAAACGACTTTTTTCCATGAGATTTCTGTCACAGCTTTTTATGATGCATTGGTATAATCCTTGTTTATGAATCACAGGCCCAGTCCATGTATGTATTTAAACATGTGTGTAATTTTTAACATGTGGGCAGTTGCCGTTTGAAGACTCTCAGGCAGTTTCTTATGGAGTGTGAGGTACATCCACATTCTTGCTTGGTATTGTTTTGAAGAGCTGCAGCATTTTGATTATGTTGACTGTGGATGAAAATTTTAAAAGCAGGATCAGAGCTGACAGTGGCAGACTTAGAGAGAGCTGTGTGAATACACTTCTAGGACTAGCACCATTGTATGTAAAATATTATGTATTTTTTTCTGATGGCAAAAGATCTGATTGTGTTTATTTGCCACTGCTGTTTTCTACATTTGACAAGTAAATCACCTGATTGATTTCAGGTATGTTAACATTTATTCTGAAAAGCAGTAGAGTGTTTGAGAACAAAAAAAAGGAATACAGTAAAAATCTTCGTGAATGCCTGCTTTTGGTACTAAACTTATGTTTGCCTATACGTTCAAAAGGCTGATTTTGTATTACATATGTAATACGTGCTTGCAGTAAGAACTTGCTACAGGTCATTTCAGAAGGGAAAACTATAACTTACGAAATGTGATTAACCAGCTGTAAAGAAGACCAATAATCTCAACAGTGTGCCCTATTTATGGCACTTAAAAAGTTACCAGTACTGCCAAATAATTTGTACCCTCCTGTGCTGCTAACTTTATTATCAGTCTGATCAATATTACACGGTGGGGACATTCTTCCACTGTATACATGGAAACAATTGTATTTTCCCAGCTATATTGTAATCAGATTATTTACTTTCAGAGGTCTGTAGGCTTATTGTGTTTCTTTTGTTTCTACCAAATTATTACTTTTTAAAATGTGGAGTGGAAGGATTAGTAACTCCACTCAATTTGAAAGTATGAGCATTTATGTGAAATTGTGTAGTGATTCTTTGTAAACAGAAATTGAACTTGCTTATATTTAAATATGTTGAAAAATTGTATCAGCTGCTAAGTGTAGTATTGCATGTTTGAAAGCAGTTCATCAAAATATGTTCTAATTAGGGTGAACAGTAATTTGCTTTTCTTTATTGCTATTAGTATTTAAGATTTTAGAAGGAATGCAAAATCCCATGGTAGGCCTTTTTACGGTCCTGAGACTGAAATTTGTTTTGCTTCCAACCTTTGTTGTATTTCATTGATTAATAAAAGTTAGGTCTTCTGTAATGAATTTAGATGAATGCTGTTTGACATTTAAGTATAGCCTGCCTGGTGCTGATGATTTATTTTACTTTTTAAAGGCTATGATTGAAAGTTTTATGGATGTCTACCAACTTGCAAGGTCCAGAATTGACATGTTAGAGAGAGAAGCATCATCTCATCAGCTTCATATTGCAGCCCTGAAGTCCAGTCTCCAAAAAGCTTGTCTTCATGAAAGTCAGAGCTTAGAATTGGTAAGTTGTCTTTTCAAGTAATTTTTGTCATTTGGATGTGCTTTCCTAACCAGTATCTCCCTTCATGCTGCATAGTTTCTGTACGGAAATACAATAATATTTCATTATAAACATAAGAAAGCAATAAAACTAGTATCAACAGAGACCGTCTTAGACTTTTTCAGAAGAAAAAGGGAGTGGTAAAAGTTAACACAAGGATTAGTTTTACTTCTGCATCTTCTGCAAGGATCTGTTCATTGCTGCTGTTGCTGCAAAAGTATACATTGTGATTAGTTTGCTTTAGGCAGTATACTAAAAGTCTGAATTTTGGACCTGAAGAATGTAACCATCTAAAGATATAGCACCATATTGAAACTATGTTATTAACTGTGCATGTAAACAAAATGTTTATTAGGAAACGTGGGGTTTTTTAGGCATTCGTGGTTATTAATATTTCTCACTGAAGTTTTCTTTCTTTCAAAAGATTAAAATCCAACTTCAGAAATAATTTATCTTCAAATCTGAGATACCTCTCTAGAGGGATTACTGAGTGTAGATGTATTAGTGTCACATGAGCAAGGAGGGCAGACACAAATTGTCAAAAATATGTAGCCAACTATGACTAGTGTGAAACTGTATAAACTGTGCAACTTACATGCACTTGATGTAAAGGAGAGAACTTTGGAGTTTATTTTTTGTTCTCCTCTCCCTGCTCTTTTTGTTTATTCTTGTGAAGCAAAGGACCATAAAGAAAATTATAATTGTTTGTGTTTGGTTTTGAAACAGAAGGTCTGTAAGAAGAGAGCCATCACTAATGCAAATGACAAAAAAACACTGGCAAATGTATATTCAAGGGCTATGGCTGTTACTGTAGTTGTTTCTCAAAGAATAAAATTAATTTCTTATCTTTCCTCTAAATTGGATCAGCTCAGTGGGAAATTAGTGCAAATAGAAAAATTTTTAATCAGTGCTGAATTTCAGTTTTAAGATCTTGAGATGATAACTGTTGAATGAAAGAAATTGCTTTTTTGAAATATCTTCTCTCCTCCCTAAACCAGGCTTGCTTTATGTTGTCTACTAGGTTTACAAATGCCCTGCTAAGTCTGTGCCCATTGTAACTGGGTTGCTCCTTTGCCTGTTAAGATTGTTTTTATTGCTTAAATCAAGATGACCACTTGTGTGCTAAGGATGGGGAAGTCTGCCAAACTTGTTGCAGTGAGGTTTGGTTTTGTTTGGATTGAGAGAGCTTTTAGCAAAGATTTTACTAGTCTTGTCTATGAAGGGCTTTTAAAGTAATTTTTGTCTATCTACAGTATCAATGAAAAGTTGGTACTTTTTGCATTGTAGTAGGAACTGGTGTTTTGAAATTTTAATGTAAAGGCAAAAAATGCAGAATGATAGATTCACAGGTTTCCATGAAAAAGGTATTATTGGTTATGGTGTATGTTGTACTGTTTGGGTTTTCTGTAAAGCTCATCACCAATACTTGCAGAAGTTGTATCAAGCATGACTTCTAGTAACTTCAGGCATCACATGTTTTTGCAGTGATTTATATGATAATGTTTCAGCCAATACTGTTCTGTTCCGATTTCGAGGAAGAAGTTTTGCACTAAATTTCTTTCTGCATTAAAAAAGCAGAACAGATTTTTTTCTTGATTATTTGAAATGAAAGGGAATAATGACATTTCTTGAGAATTTATTTGGTTTCACAACCATACACATTTAGCTGGTGTCAACCCATAGTGTTTAATCACATATCCAGTTACCAGTTCTGGTAACATTGCAAGCAACACTTTTCATGTAGGGGACAAACACAGCACCTGGACTGTATTAATAGCAGGTCTTTATATGATGTAGGTTTGTGTTCCTAGAACTCAGTGCTGAAACACATTTTTAGAAAGCATTTTGGGTGTATACCATCTGTAGACTCTTATCCTACACAATTGCATTTTATCTCACCGTATCTTTGCTGTCTCTGTGCACGTTGCATAAGATTCTGCATTTTCAACTGACCATTGCGTCCAGGTTTGGGCCATTCATCAGTATTGTTCTTCAGCTTGTTCAGATGGTATGGCTTTCCTAACTGACTTCATACAGAAATTTACTATGTCACCTTTCTTTCTGTTCTCACCACCTTTTTCATCTTCTGTTGCTTTGGGTTTTACTAATAATTATTTTTAAAAATTGATGCCATAAAGCAACATCAGTGATTCTGACTCCTCATCTTTTATCTAAGACTCTGAATTAATGTCTTCATCTTTCTGTCTGATTCTAGTCCAACCGCTTTCCTTCTACAATAGTGTTTAGATTCAGAGATTGCTATGTGTGCTCATGCTAATACTAACAGAGAGGAACAGGAGGGTTATTATTATGATGGACAGAGGTGAAATGAATGCTGGAAAACTGCTTACAGAGAAGAAAATTATTATGTAGGGTGAAGGGGAGTCAATAGTAAAATGTCTCTGAACTCTTTGTTAGTGTCTAGCTGTCTATCTGTTGTGCTTGTCTCTGATGGTCTTTCCTCTGTGCAGAGAAACGGCCTGTGCATTTTTCATTCTTGCAACACCTTAAAATTCAGCATGGCTGAACTAAAAATTACTTGTTTTCTACCTAAACCTTTTTTTTTTCCATCCCCCCTTGCATTGTTTCCTGTTTCTTTATCTGTTTTCTGTTGTACTTTTCTGTTTTTAAATATCCCTGTTGTGGTTTTTTTTTCTTTACCAAATGCTTCCAAAATTTCCCTTGCATTTCCAAAATGTCTTTCTTCCATTTCGGTTTTCAATCAGTTAACATTTTACAGTAGCCTTTCTTTGCAATCATAGTAGCTTACTTTCTGTGCATTTCCTTGTTTGTTAAAATTTACTTTCTCTGAAGTGCAAGTACCACAGTTACAATTCTGTCCTCCATAACTTGCTGTGTCACCACATTAAAGGTCATATCTATAATTCGTAGAGCTAATAATAGAATTGTAGAATAGTTTGTGTTGGAAGAGACCTTAAAGATCATAGAATCATAGAATTATTAAAGTTGGAAGGGAGCTTAAAGATCATTAAGTTCCAACCCCTTGCTATGAGCAGGGAACCCTACCACTAGATCAGGTTGAACAAAACCTCACCTAACCTGGTGTTAAAAACCTCTAGGGATGGAACATCAGCAGCCTCCCTGGGCAATCCATTCTAGTTCCTCACCACCCTTATAGAGAAGAATTTCTTCCTAATATCTAACCTAAATCTCCCCTCTCTCAGTTTAAAATCATTACCCCTTGTCCTATCACTGTCTTCTCTGATGAAAAGCCCCTCCTCAGCTTTCCTGTAGGCCCCTTTCAAGTACTGGAAGGCCCTGTAAAGTCTTCCCAGAGCCTTCTCTTCTCTAAGCTGAACAGCCCAGATTCTCTTTGTCTGTCTTCATAGCAGACGTGCTCCAGGCCCTTGATCATCTTGGTGGCCCTTCTCTTGACCCTTTCCAACAGGTCTATATCTTTCTTGTGCTGAGCACGTCAGAACTGTGTGCAGTATTCCAGGTGAGGTCTCAGCAGAGCAGAGTAGAGGGACAGAATCCCCTCCCTGGCCCTGCTGGCCACACTTCTTCTGATGCAGCCCAGGACACAACTGGCTCTCTGGGCTCCAGCACACACTGGTGGCTCATGTCAAGCTTATCTTCCACTACCACCCCCAAGTCCTTCTCCTCAGGACTGCTCTCCAGCCATTCTCTCCGCAGCCTGTATTTCTGCCTGGGGTTGTGCCAGTGGCCTTTGTGTTGAGGTTGGAGCACTTGCCAGAGAAGACTGAAGCAAAGAAGTCATTGAGAACCTCAGCCTTCTCAATATCCTATGTTACTATCTTGCCCGTTTCCTTGGAGGAGATGGGCCTCCGTTCTCCTTGGATGTCCTTTTCTCCCCAACATACCTAAAGAAGCTTCTCTTATTGTTTTTAACATCTCTGGCAAGATTTAATTCTAGCAGGGATTTGGCTCTCCTAACCTGATCCCTAGCTGCTCGGACAACCTCTCTGCAGTCCTCCCAGGATACCTACCCTGGCTTCCACCCCCTGTGTGCTTCTTTCTTCAGTTTGAGCTTTTCTAGGAGCTGCCTACTCATCCATGCTGGCCTCTTGGAGTTTCTACTTGACTTCCTCTTAGTTGGGATGCAACGGTCTTGGGCCTGAAGAAGATGATTCTTAAATATCAGCCAGCTGTTGTGGGCTCCTCTACCCTCCAGGATGTTACCCCAGGACATTCTCTTGAGCAGATCAGTGAAGAGGCTGAGATCTGCCCTTCTGAAGTCAAGGGTAGTAAGCTTGCTGTGAGCCCTCCTTGCTGCCCTAAGGATCTTGAATTCCACCATTTCATGATCACTACAACTCAGGCTGCCCTTGAGCTTAACATCCCTCACCAGCCCTTCCTTGTTGGTGAGGACAAGATCCAGCACAACACCTCTCCTTTTCGGGTCCTCGATTACTTGGAAAAGGAAGTTATCATTCTTGCACTCTAGGAAACTCCAGGATTGTTTGTGTTTTGAAGAGTTGTTCTTCCAACAGATGTCAGGGTTGTTGGAGTCTCCCATAAGGACCATGGCGTATGAATGTGAAGCTGCTCGTATCTGTCTACATAGTGCCTTGTCTATGTTATCCTCCTGCTCAGGCGACCTGTAGGAAACCCCCATTGTGGTGTCACCTTGGCCTTTCTTCCCCTTAATCTTCACCCATAAACTCTCTGTTGGCTCCTCATCTGTACACAGGGAGAGCTCCATGCACTCCGGCTGGTCTTTAACATAGAGGGCAACACGCCCACCCCATCTCCCCTGTCTGTCCTTTCTAACGAGTTTATAACCCTCCATTCTGACACTCCAGTCATAGGAGCCGTATCACCAGGTCTCAGTGATGCCAAGGAGATCACAGCCCAGCAGGCTCACCCTCTTCTCTAATTCCTCCTGTTTATTTCCCATGTTGCATGCATTAGTATAAAGGCATTTAAGCTGAGCCTCCATTGTAGTTGCCTGACTAGCTGACCTGACCACCACACCACCCCTAGGCTCATCTGTAGAAAGCCTAGCTTTATCCCCCACCCCCTTCCAACCTTGTTTAAAGCCCTGTCAATGAGCCCTGCTAACTCCTGTCCTAGTAGCCTTTCCCCCCTGAGGGACAGGGTCTTCCCATGCAATGCCAGCAGGCCCAGTGTCCTGTAAACCAAACCATGATTGAAAAACCCAAAATCCTGTTGGTAGCACCAGTTTTGGAGCCAGGCAATGATCTGTGAGGTCTTTTTAACCCACTCATTATTCCCCAAGACTGGAGTGACATAGCAGAACACAACTTGTGCACCCAAGACCTTGGCCAGTCAACTCAATACCCTAAAATATTTCTTTATTATTCTCAAACCTCTTTTCTCCACCACATCACTACCTACATGAAAGATAAGAAGACGGTAATAGTCTGAGGGCCATATCAGACCAGGAATTTTCCTGGTTATATCCCTTACCCTCACTCCAGGGAGGCAACATATGTCTCTGTGGGAAGGGTCTGGCCAGCATATAGGACCTTCAGTTCCCCTCAGAATGGTATCACCTATCACTATCACCCTCCTCTTGCTCTTCTCAGAAGCAGTCCTAATCTGAAGAGCTGGTTGCTTTGGCAACTTCTTAGGAGCAGTCCTACTGCATCGAGCTGGCAGCTTAGGCAGCTCCCTGGACAGGGCTTCTTCAGCATCCTTGTTTAACTGGTCCCTTATCTTCAGAGCCCTGTGTTTATTCTGTAAGGGCACCTGGAAATGTGGGGAAGGTCCAGCGAGAATTCTTCTGCTACCCCTAGCAGGGACCTGCTTCCATTGCCCCCTGTCCTCTCCTAGTTCCTATCCTTCCTCCTGGTGACCAGAGGGCTAGGAATCTTCTACCTTTTGCGAAGCTACCACCTGCTGCCAGCTCCACCAGTCTATTTCCCTTTCACATTCCCATGTGGTCCTTAACCTCTCCGCTTCCTGCAGAAGCTCAGCGACCAGGCTGAGCAAACCATTTACCTGGTCACAGTGCACACAGATGTTGTATTTACTGTCACCCTGCAGGAGTGACAGACTCAGACACTTCCCGCAGCCCATCACCTGGACAGCTGTCTGCCCCTCAGGCAGATCAGCCTGGGTTCCAGCCCTGCTGTTACCTGAGGCTCTGGGCCGAGCACAGACCATCTCCCACTGCCCTGCCTGCCGAGCTCTCCCAGAGCCTCCTCTCGCTCCCGCCCACGCGCCCGCTTGCGCCACTCCCTGGGGCGCCACTGCCTGTTCGTGCTTCTCGTGGTCCAGTCCTCCAAGCATGGGCAGGGACACCTCCCACTAGATCAGGTTGCTCAAAGCGCCATCCAATGTGCCCTTGAGCACTTCCCAGGATGGGGCTTTCATAACTTCCCTGGGCAATCCATGTCAGTGTCTCACCACCCTCATAGTGAAGAATTTCCCCCTAATGTCTAATCTAAATCTCCCTTCTTCTAGTTTTAATGCGTGATCCCTTTTCCTCTCACTACAAGCCCTTGTAGAAAGTCCATCCCCAGCTTTCCCGTAGGCCCCTTTCTAGATACTGGAAGGACACTATAAAGTCTCCCTGAAGCCTTCTTTTCTCCAGGCTTAACAACTCCAACTCTTTTAGCCTGTCTTCACAGGGGAGGTGCTCCAGCTCTCTCATCATCTTTGTGGCCCTCATCTGGACTTGCTTCAGGAGATCTACGTCATCCTTTTGTTGGGGCCTCCAGAACTGGACATAGTACTCCAGGTGGGGTCTCACAAGAGCAGAAGAGAGGGGGAGAATCCCCTCCCTTGAGCTGCTGCCATGCTTCTTTAGATGCAGCCCAGGACATGGTTGGCTTTCTGGGCTACAAGTGCACATTGCCTGCCCATGTTGAGCTTCTTGTCCACGATCACCTGCAAGTCCTTCTCAGAGCTGTTTTCAATCCGTTCTCCTCCAGCCTGTATTTGTTCTTCAGATTGCACTGACCCAGGAGCAGAACCTTGTATCCCGACTTTTTGAACTTCATGCAGTTTGCAAGAGCCCACCTCTCAGGCCTGTTAGGGTCCCTCTGAATGGCATCCCTTCCCCCCAGTTTGGTGTTATCAGCAAACTCACTGAGGATGCACTCAATCCCACTGTCCGTGTTGCTGACAATGATGTTAAATAGCACTGGTCAGAGCACCAACCCTTGAGAAACTCCACTTGTCAGTGGTCTCCATCTAGAAATCAAGCTGTTGAACACCACTCTTTGAGTATGACCATCCAGCCAATTTCTTACTCAATGACTGGTCCATCCATCCGATCCATACCATTCCAGCTCTGACACCAGGGTGTTGTGTGGGATAGTGTTGAAGGCTTTGCACAGGTTGATGACGTCAGTTGCTCTTTGTTTTCCACTGATGCCGTGACCTCATTGTAGAAGGCCACCAAATTAGGCAGGATTTGCCCTTAGTGAAGCCCCTTTGTTTTCCATGTGCCTTAGCAGAGCCTTCAGGAGGGTCTGCTCCACAGCCTTGCCAGGCATAAAGATGGGACCGACTGGCTTGCAGTTCCTTGTGTCTTTTTTTTTTCCCTTCTTGAAAATGGTGGTTATGTTCCCACTTTTCCAGTCAGTGGGGATTTCACCAGACTGCCAAGACTTTTCAAACAGAGGCTTTGCAACTTCATTGGTCAGTTTCTTTAGGAGCCATGGATGAATCCCATGAGGTTCCATGTACTTGTGCAACTTTAGGTCCCTCAGGTGGTCTTGAGCCTGCCCTTCTCCTACAGTGGAAAATATTCCTTTTCCAAGTTCCTGTGTTTGCCTTCTCTAATTTGGATGGTGTGACCAGAGCCTTTACTGATGAAGACTGAGGCAAAATAGTCATTGAGTACCTCAGCCTTCTCTGTGTCCTGCATGACCAGGTCTCCAGCTTCCTTCTGGAGTGGGGCCACATTATCCCTTGTGTTCTCTTATCACTGACATACCTATAGAAACTTCTCCTGTTGTCCTTAACAACCCTGGCCAGATCAAATTCTCTCCATGCCTTAGCTTTCCTTACCCGATCCCTTGCTTCTCTGACATCTTGGTCTACTCTCCCCCGAATACCTCTCCCTGCTTCCACTCTCTGTAAACCGTGTTTTTATATTTAACTGTGTCCAGGAGCTCCTTGCTTATCCACGCAGGCCTCCTGGCTCTACTGCCTGCCTTCCTCTTCGCTGGAACACATTGCTCCTGGGCACGGAGGAGGTGATCTTTGAATATGGATCAGCTTTCCCGGGCTCCTCTCCAGGGCTTTGTCCCATGGTATCCTACCAAGCAGATTCTTGAAGAGGCGAAAACCTGCTCCCTTGAAATCAAGGGTGCTGAGCTTGCTTTGCTACTTCCTAGCTGCTCTAAGAATCCTGCATTTGACCATGTCACAGTTGCTGCAGCCTAGTCTCCCATTGAGTCTTACGTCACTGACCAGCCTGTTTCTGTTGGTGAGAACAAGTTTCAGCATAGCACCTTTTCTTGTTGGTCCCTCTACCATTTGGAGGAGGAAGCTGTCATCAATGCATTCCAGGAACTTCCTGAATTGCTGGTGCTTTGCTGTGTTGTGCCTCCAGCAGATCCTGAGGAGGTTGAAATCCCCCATGAGGACCATGGCTTCGAGTGTGAAGCTGCCCCTGTCTGTCTATACAGGCATTTCCCACAGCCTGCAGTCTGCATAGCTCCCTCCTCCTTCACTGCCTCCGTTAGAGTGGAGGCATCAGTCACCACTGGGTGACCCCCCAGCCATAAGTGCAGCCTGGGCTCTGCATCAAGTGGCCTCCATGTTGCCCTGTGTGTCTGTGAGGAGCGTGGCCTTGGGCCCTGCAGATGTGCTGGGAGCTCTGCCCTCCAAAGGAGCAGCCTTCCTGCACGGCGACTCTGCTCGCTCTGCCTGCACCAACTCTTAGCAACAATAAAAGTTCAGCTGAAAAGATGTCGTTAATATGGCCACCTGTAGTCTTCACTGTAAGGATGTAGGTTGCCAGAGGAGGAACAGAGAAGCCAGCACTCAACGTCTATCATGAGGTAAGATGAAGAATTATCTCACTGAATTTTAAGAAGCTGTATTGTTTCCCTTTACGTGTCTATGCCTTTATGCCTTCTAGTGATTTTCCTTAGGAGAGCTTAATGTGCTTAGAATTTGGTTTAGTGGAACTATTTCACTGGTAGTAACTAACAGTACACACAATCTGTATGTAAGTAGAAAAGAAACCAGTTAAAATGTTACTGTATTTCTTTTTTCGTGCCTGTTTCAGTGACATCTAGTAATATAAACGTAACCAACTGGACTTGCTCCAAGGTTTCCAATGAAATCAATGCTTGCCAGTTACTTTTACAGTACTAGATTCTGCTTTTTTGATCCGTTTTAGTTCTTCTTCAGATACATTATTACTGTGTTTGCACTTTTGTTTAGAGTTGCACTAATAAATAGACTTTGAACTAAGAGCTTGTGAATGCTGTACGTTGCAGCACTATAGTAATAAGCAATTACTTTGAGGGTGCTATGTGGCAATATGTGGCATCATATGAGTCACATAGTGAACATATGAATCCGTGGTGTTTGTACTTCCAAAGAGTTTGTTGCTGTAAGCACAGTTTTGTGCAGAATGAATGTAATGACACTCTATTTTCCAGTATGGCCTGACACATATGAGGAACTGACAGAATTTAATTATTTATAAAATTTATCCATAAACTGTTTTCATAGCTTTCAGCTATGAGATTTTTTTTTGCCTGATGGCTGAATTGCCGTCAGAATTTGAAGAATTTAACATATTCTGGTAGTAGTTTTGGCAGATAAAAGAAACCACTGTTATATTACAAATAGGTCAGGTGTTTCTCTGAGCCTGAATGTGAAGGTGATCTGGTGATTTCCCTTCCTGTTTCCTCTTTTTGCTTTAATTTCAGAATTGAAGCAGAGTAGAAAGTGAAGGGAAAAATACAGTAATTTATGAAGAGAGTAAAGCTTTGTGTGCACTGGAGAAATGGAAATCTGGGGAGCCAAATTGGTGACTTTAACTGAAAGTGGGAGAAGCTGGGTTTCAGAGGGGTGAGAGGGAGGAAGTGAAGGACTTCAAGAAGAGCAGAGTTCTCTAACTAAACAGTAACCATAAAAATAAATCCTGACATTGGATGCTTCTCCTAATTGAGATTGAAAACGAAGTCACTAATTACTTCAGGTTGCTTTGCATAATCCTTACTTTTTTCTGTAACAGTTGTGGTTGTGTCTGTTCTTTGTCTGAAAATGACTAGTGGTATCATTTAAAGTACTGCAAGTGATGCCAGTAGGCATTTTTTACTGGAATTGTAGGTTTTGATGAGGTGAGAGAAGCAAGTAGAATGATTTTATGTATTTTTTCCAGATTTGACGTATGTAAAACATCCATAATTGACATAGGCTCTCATATTTTTGTGTTGAAAAACTGCATTAAGCAAGATGCATATTTTTCTTTCTATTCATAGCAATCAGTTCTCTGTTTTCATGATCTACTTGAACACTCTTCATGGGAAGGATTAAAACACAAACTTATATGTTAACTACACCACTGACAGTGTCTTCCTACTTAGCCAGGCTGGTCACTGCAGTGGATTTAACATGTCTTTGCCCCATACCCTTTGTTTCCTTGTCACCAGTTCAGTCTGTGTTTCAAGGCTGACACCTGCATCTGACAGGGATCCAATGTCTTACTTTTAGAATTATGAAGACGGAACTGGAGAGAAAGAAAAAAAAATTTAAAAATTGGCCTTTTCACTTGCTGCGTAGGAGAAAGGCACTCCATTGGTGTCATGTTAAATGTCAGAGAGTGTCTTTCATGGGCTGGAGCCATATCTCTTGTCTTAGGACATGGAATGACTGATGTAGCTGGGGGGAATGCTTCCCAGATGTTGCAAGTAGCAGATAGGTCCTGGATGAAAACTCTCCTTAGCTTTTCCACTACTTCATACTAGCTTGATGCATGGATAAACTAAAAAGATTTTTTTTTTTAAGATTTGGAATTGAACTGTTTTTGTGAGAGATTTGGCAATGCTAGTTCTTAATATGCCTTGCAGAAAGTATTCAGACTTGTTATTTTTATTGTTATTCTCTGTCTTGCAGTGTTTTCTTGGAAATAGTCTAGGATAGAATTCAGTAAGAAATGGACTTCAAATAATTGCAACTTTTTCTCAGTATTGTTAATTACCAGTGCATGGTTTATTTACTGTGGAATATATGAATGTTCTTAAAGTGATAGTAAGGGAAGAAAGATCTGACAGGCTCACAAGGTTAATTTGCCAAATATTGACATAAACTTCCATAAACTATTTTTCTACTGAAATATTTGCATTTCTTACCTGATTTGAAGCAGCTGGGTCTCACTTGCCAATCTTACTGCATAGCCGAGGAATGCAGGTATTCTAGTACAAATGCTCACCTTGCCATGTGGTATTGCTTACAGAAGTAATACTTGTAACCAAACAGAATAAATAACATAGTTTAAACTTTGCGTACTAGGTAGTACCAATTAAATAAATAAGTAAGTAAATAAATAAATATAAATAAATACATTATGTAATTTAGTGCAAGGTGTTAAAAAATAGTTACAGTAATCCAACAACATACCTGCTATTTTGTAAATAGTTGCTTTTCTCTGCTAAAAATTTTTTGATACTCAGTATTCTAGGTATGTGAACTTTTAACTTGTCAGTCTATTGTAACATATTTGAAAATTATAGTAATTTGATTAAAATGTTGCCTATAAGGCAAAAGGTTCAGTTAATAGAATCCATATGTAATTAAAATGCAGAACTAAATGTAATCAGACCCCAGTGACTGGTGCCCTCATATTGATAGTTTTACAATGGCCTCTGGGGTTGAAAGTTTATGTTAAACTTACAAACGTAGCTATGCTCTAGGAAAAGTTAGACAGTTTAGCCATTTCAGGTATGACAATGTCCTGAAGTGATAGTCACATGATAGAAATCGTTGATAGTCTGAATTTTAGGGTTATGTTCCACTGGCAGGCTGTGCAAGCACATGACTGCTGGAGTGTACTAGTCACAGAATTGCATGCAGCGGCAACATTGCTACATAAACATCCTCAAATGAAGGATCTTGCTGTGAGCAAGTAACAATGTATTTTTTTAATAATAAAGTTACTTTATATGTGTAAATTCATGTTTGAATAATCTGAGGGTTATAGACACAACACTATGTACCAAGCCACGAAGGAAGTGTAAGAAAATCTCCTGAACTTAAAAAAAACCCAAACATTATTTTCTCTGGACAGTTTTAAGAGTTGACATCCTGTGTTAGAGTTCTCTAATCATCACCAGCACAATTTACAATCAGAACACACAGAGAGCCAGTTCAGACCATCTCATCTGTTGACTTTGGCAGAAGCCCTTCATCTCACTGTGTGCAGCTGCCACTTGAGAGCTGGGGACTCGGCAGAGAGCCGAAGGAGGGTAGGATGCAGAGTTGGTCAAGGCATGAACACATAGGTCTGCTTCATTTCAACAGCCCTACACTGCTTTTTTTATAGTCTTTTCATTTTACAGCCTTTTTTTTAAAAAATGAAAAAAAACCCAACCAACCAACCTGAAATTAAATGAGGACCTCTCATGAGCCACTGTGCTCCAGGCATAAGAGATTGTAATGTCTGGCTTCCAGAAACTGTCCCGTCAAAATGTGCTTCTGATTAGGTGGCTTAATTACAGCTGTGAAAACAATGTTGATTTAGGCCTCAAGATTCCAGTGTATGTCAACCGTTATTAGCTAGCCTTGGACTGAAGCCACCATTTTAAAACTCTGTACCACTAAAGTCACACACTGCCTGACAACTTTTTACTTAGGCAGAAATCTTGCCAGAAGCAACACATTTTATGTAAAATATTTTTCATTGTGCAAATTTCAAATGTGACACTGTTGATGGACATAAAATGGATAGTTATGGGTGGACTTCACCAAGTCCAAACCCTAACTTTTGCAAAAATCCCCCAAACCCCCCCCCCCCTCCGGCTGCTTCAAATAGTTTTTATAAAGTTTGACTGACATAATGCTTAATTTTAATTCCTTTAATTCAGTTTTATTCCAAATCCAGCATGTTGCTTTAACCACCCAGTTTTATTGCATCTAAATTTTCCTGACAGTTTCATTTGCTGTTGGGAAATAAAATTGCCATTTTTGCAACATGGGAAATAATGGCTAGTTTCAAACCCAATATGTTTGAAACTTCCTTTGCCTGAAGCAGGATAAGGCACACACTCAATTTACTTTAGGGGAAAAAGCTCATTAAATAGTTTTTAATATTTTAATA